TTCTTCTTCTTCTTCTTCTTCCTCTTATCTTTGAATTCTTTATTCTTTGTCTTCTTCTTCTTCCCTCAAATTTTTCTTCTTCTTTTTCTTTTTCTTTTTCTTCTTCCTGTTGTCTTCTTCTTCTTTGTCTCTTATTCTTCTTCTTCTTCTTCCTGGTCTCTTCTTCTTCTTCCCTTTATTTTTATTTCTATTTTTTGTTTTCTTTTTTTGTCTCTTATTCTTTTTCTTCTTCGGTCTTCTTTTTCTGTTCTTCTTCTTCTTTCTTCTGACTTTTCCTTTGATTCTCTCTCTTTATTTTTGACTTTGTCTTCTTTTTCTTTCTTTCTTCTTCTTCTCTTCTTCTTCTTCTTTTATCAAAAACTTCTTTTTCATATTTTTTCTTCTTTTTTTCAATTCTTTTTTTCTTAGCTCTTTCCCTTATTTTATCTTTTCAAACCTTGTTCCAATTTTGTTCTTTTCTTTTCTAAGTCTTTTTATTTTTGTCTTCCTTTTTCCTCTTGCCTTCAATTCCCTGTTTTTTATCAGATTTTCTCAAGTTCTTTTCCTCATTATGCGCCCCTAAAATTTCAAGTTTCTTTTCCTGATGTTAAATATAAGTTTCCTTTTCTTTCCATTTTCTCTTTTAAACTTCCTTTTTTTGATATTTCAGTCCAGGGTGTCCCAGCATCCTTCTGTATTTTTAAAATTGTAATGAGAGGGTTTTTAGGAAAGGATAAAGAGATGGACATGGGAATTTTAATCAAAATATATCAAAAATATTACATTTGAATATCTGAAGATTATAGCTATCATAGAAACATTTTTAAGATTCCTTTTCCAAAAAAAGTAAAAGTGCGAAAAGTTTTGCCTGTTGGATGATTAAGTGGCGGTTAAAACAAACTGTTTCACAATTGAAAATTTGGGTCCAATGATGCCAACCTTTCTATCTTTCTTTTCATCCATTTATTTTTGGGGTTCCAATTTATTTAGTTTTTTACCAAACACGAATTCCCTTGTAAAAATACGGATTTAAATATTAATGTCTGTGAGATAGTGACTGTTTTCTCGAGATGCCAGATCAGGACCTATTTCATTTCTCTCTTTCAGTTTCTGGATTCTTTGGAAGGCTGTGGCTTCCCAATGTGCCAAATTTTCTTTCAATGTTGCACTTTCTGTCCTTGTTAAAAGACTTTGAGATATTTTTTGGTCTTTGTTTTCCTTTGATTCTAAAGTTGCATGTTTCGATATTGTGTTCTCCGGCATTCTTCAATGATTGAATTTCGAATTGAACCCTTTATTTCGTCCACCGATGAGTAATTTTTCTTTTCAAAGTTCATTTGCTCAAGGACGTTCGTTTTTTTATTTTTCACTTTTCTTTCTTTTAAAAATGATCTTTTCCTTCATGAAATAAAAACATTTCCTTGGAATTTCTTTTCTTTCTTTCTTTTCTTTCATTCTGAAATCAAATTTTATAAAAAAAATTTTTTTTCTTTTTTTTGTCTTTTGTTTCCCAAGACTTTTCTTTTTTTTTTTTCTTTCTTTCTTTCTTTTTCTTCTTTTCGGAAATTTTTTCCTCTTTCTTTCTTTTTTTCTTTTTTTTTGTTTCTTTTCAAATTTCTCCTTTCTTTTTTTAAATGGAAATTTCCAGGACATTCTTTTTATTTCTTTTTTTCTTTTAACTTTTTTACAATCGCTTTGGACTTTCTTTTTTTCTTTCTTTGAAATTGATTTCTTTTTTCTTTAAAGATTTTCTTTCTTTTTTTTTTTTTATTTAAATGCCAAGGAAATTTCTATCTTTTTTAAAAAATTTTTTTCTTTCTTTCTTCATTTCTTTTTTTTTTTTTTCTAAAATTCAAAAAAAAAATCTTTCTTTCTTTTAAAAAATTCTTTTTTTTTCTTTTATTTTCTTTTCTACGATTTTTATTTAATTGTTTTTTTTTCATTTTTTTCTTTTCTTTTTTCTTTTTTTTTATTTCCTTTTACATTTTTGAGATTCTTTTCTTTCATTCTTCTTCACGAATTCTTTTTCATTCCTTTTCAAATCTTATTCTTTTTTGACCTTTTTCTTCTTCACACACCGTTTTTAATTTCTTCGCATTTCCTCAAGTTTTCTCTTCGTCTTTGAGAAAAAAGGATTTTTCCATCGTCAAAAGGACTCGTCAAGTTCAATTGACAAACTTTTACTTTCACCGACATTTTTTAACAGCTTCTATCAACCAACAATTTATTTGCTTTCCTTTCTTTTTTTGTTTCCTTTCTTTTTCACATCATTTTTCTTCCTTCCTTCCTTTATTTCTTTTCTGTTCGTTCGTTCTTTTTTTTTCTTTTTTACTTTCTTTTTTTTTAAATTTTTTTCCACTCCTTCTTTTTAAAATTTCCTTTTTTTTTTCTATCCAAACATTTCTTTTAGATTTCTTAAAAAAGAAAAAATTTTTTTCTTTCCCTTCTTTTTTCCTTCTTTCCTTCCTTCCTTCCTTCCTTCCTTTTCCTTCCTTCCTTTTTTTCTTTTTTTTTCCTTTTTTCTTTCTTCTTTCCTTTAAAACCAATGTATTTTTTCTTTCCTTTTTCAAAAAATCCTTTATGTCATTCATTTTTCTTTCTTTATTTTTTTCCTTTCTTTCTTTCATTCTTTCTTTATTATCTATTTATTTCATTTTTTTTTTTTCTTTTTATTGTTTTTTATTTTTCTTTATCTTTTGGTTTCCTTCATTTTTCCTCCTTCCTGTAGAAAAAAATCTTTTTCGTTTTCGTTCTTTCTTTTCTTTTCTTTCTTTCTTTCTTTTCGTTCTTTCTTTCTTTTTCTTTTTCTTTCCTTCATTTTTTTTAAAAAATTTATTCCCCTTTTTTAAAAAAACAGATTCTTTCGTTCTTTCTTTTTCTTTTGTTTTTTTTTTAACATCTATCCTTCATTTTTCCTCCTTTTTATTTTTATTCTTCCTTTATATTTCTGGATCCTCCAAATTATTTTTTATATAATTCTTCCTTTTCGTTTTATTTTTCTTAATGATCCAAAAAAAACTTTCTTTCTATCCTTCATTTTTCCTCCTTCCTTCCTCCATCCTCTCCCTCCATTCTTTTTTTTTTCCTTCCTTCCTTCCTTCCTTCTTTTCGTTCTTTCATTTATTTTTTTTTTTTCCCTTCAATTTTTTTCCTTCCCCTTTTCCTCCCCCTCCTTCCTTCCTTTCTTCCTTTCTTTATCGCTTCTTTATTTCATTCTTTTCTTTTTATTCTTTCTTTCTTTCCTTTTTTCTATTTTTCTTTTCTATCCCTTCATCTTTTCGTTCCATTCGTTCCTCCTTCTTTTCTTTCTTTTTTTTTTCTTTCTTTCTTTTCTTTCTTTCTTTCTTTCATTTTTTTCCTTTTCCTAATTCCTTCTTTTTCTTTTTTTTTCATTCTTTCTTTTCTTCTTTTTTTTTTCTATCTTTCATTTTCCTCCTTCGTCCCCTCCTTCTTTCCTTTCCTTTTTTTTTTTTTCTTTCTTTCTTTTCTTCCCTTCATTTTTTCCTTCCTATTTTTTTTTTTCTTTTTCTTTTTTTCGTTCTTTTTTTTTTCTCTTTCGTTCGTTTCTTTTTTTTTCCCTTTTTTCCTCCACCTCCTTCATTGCTTTGGTTTCTTTTCGTTTTTTTAAAATGTATTTCTTTCGTTTTTTCATTTATTCTTTATTCCTTTTCTTTCATTCTTTTTTTTTTTTTTTCCTTCATTTTTCTCCTATTTTTTTTTTTTTTTTTCATTTTTTCTGTTTTTCCTTCTCCAATTCATTTTTTATCTATCTATCTACCTATCTATCTATTTTTATTTAATTACCTATCTATGTTCCCATTTCCTGTTTTTTCTTTCTTTTTTTTATTTCTTTTTATTTTTTCAAAAATTTTAAAAACCAATTTTTCTTTTTTATCTACTTCTTTTTCCTTCTTTTTTTTTCTTTTATTTTTATATCCAAATCTTTTCCCTTTCTTCATTTCTCTAATATTCATTCATTCATTCTTTCAGCAACTTTTTTTTAAATTTTTTTTGGTCTTTCTTTCTTTCCCTTTATATTTCCTTTTTGTTCCTTTCCCGCCTTTCTTGAATTCTTATATGATTTTCTATAAATCTATATATCTCGTTTATATTCCCCACCCTTTTTATTTCCCTTGCTTCTCTCGTTTCACCCCTCTCTATTTTAACTCACTCCCTCTCTGTCATTTCTTCATTTCATCTCTATCTCCTCCTATTTTTTTTCAAATCATTTTGTATTTCAATTTGAGCATTTCTATCAAAATGGAAAACATATTTATATGGTTATATTTAAATTCTCAAAATTACAATCTATCTGCACCCAATTTATCACACCCACACACACAAACGCACGCACTCATTATATATATATATATATATATATATATATATATATATATATATATATATATATATATATATATATTCTCAGTATGTTAATTATCTATCTATACCAACATATTATCTTTCTATCTATCGATCTATTTATCTCGGCCTGTTCATTATTTATATATCCCAACATATTAATTATGTCTGTATGTATGTATGTATGTCTGTATCTATCTATCTATCTATCTATCCCAGTCTGGTCATATCTATCTATCTATCTATCTATCTATCTCAACATTATGTATGTGTGTATTGTATGTATGTATGTATCTATTTATTTCAATAAGTTTCTCTCAATCAGTCATTCTATCTATCTATCTATCTATCTATCTATCCCAACATGTTGATTATCTATCTATCTATCTATCTATCTATCTCAATAAGTTTCTATCAATCAGTCATTCTATCTATCTATCTTAGTATATTCATTATCTATCTATCTATCTATCTATCTATCTATCTCAATAAGTTTCTATCAATCAGTCATGCTATCTATCTATCTTAGTATATTCATTATCTATCTATCTATCTATCTATCTATCTATCTATCTCGATTTTTCCCCTTTCCTTCAATCTGTCGGCAAGTGACGGCGGCACTCCTTCCGTCTCAAACCCGATGCCAAAGCTCCGAATAGATCAAAAGGACTCGCTTCCTTTTCATGCTACGAAGTGTCGCCGAGGAGTTTCTTTAGCCTGTTTTCGGCCGAGGCGGCAGCATGGAAGGCAAAAAGCACGAGCCGAGGTCGGGGAAGGGAAACAAATCTAGAAAAAAAAAAATAAAAAAAAGTAAAAAAAAAGACCCCTAAAAAGGGGTTGGAAGAATATCGAAAAAAAAGCAACTAAGACATTTTTTCATGAAAAGAAAATGAACCACCCCCTCCCACACAAAAAAATAAGGCAGGAATTATTTTCAATAATGGAGATAGAATCAAATTAATTTAGGGGTGGGTTGGAGGTTGTGGTTTTGGTGGCACGAAATAATGAAACTTTCTTTAAAATTTTAATAAGTGCGTAATTTTAGTAGGGGATTTTTTAGAGATATCTAGATGATGTAAGAAAGGGAAGAATTTATTATTTTGCAGTTTATATTCCGTCTTTTCTTCTTTTCTTTTTTTCTTCACTATATAAGGCGCATTGTATGTTCGTCTAGACAAAGTTTCTCAAAGTCGGAGTCACGACTCCTACGGAGTTCCGAAACAGTTTCTAGAGATGGCAATAATAATTATTGTTCCGACTCTCAAAGATCTGAAGTTTCCGTGGGCTTTAAAAAATAAACATTGTTTATGTTTGCCCGCCCCCGTTTATATATAAGGACACCAAAGCACAGAGTGTAAGTGAAAATATCTCGCAGACCATTAATATTGTAACATAGATCACCATTGATCATATATATATATATATATATATATATATATATATATATAATATATATATAAGGCTCAACACTAATATTCCATGGTTATAATTTATTTCATTAGAATCGTAATCACGTTCACTTCACCATTCCTACAAATTCAAAAAGAGCTTTTTACTCTCTCCTGGACATTGAACTGCCTTGATTCTAAATAATTGGGAATTTTTTATATATATATATATATATATATATATATTGATGTATATTTTAAACCATCTTTTCTTTAAAACATGTTTCATTGAATAATATAGACAAATTTTGACTACTTATTTTCAATTGGATCCTTTCGTATTCACGGACAGGAAAGGTGTCATTATTAAAGGAACTAGAAAATACCGTGTTGATACATATTATTATTTTTTTTGAGTTTTCATTTCAGTTTATTCGACATTAACAGATCAATGTTCAAAAATAAAAAGTATCATAAATTATTCAATAAATAGATAAATTATGTCCCAAAATTTTCATATATAATATATTCGTTCTTTGACCTGTATATATATATATATATACGGAACCGTTATATACGCTGACGTGCCTTACCGTCTCAATACAAGGTCCGACAATTTATTTATTAAAGACATTTTTTTGTTTTAACGTTGTTATTTTATAGATACAAAAAAAAGTCTTTAATAAATAAATTGTCGGACCTTTCCATTTATTAATATATGACGTCATTTGTTTACATTCGATACGGCAGAGCAGTTATGAATGTACGAGATTCATGGAAGATTGAAGTTTATAAACAGTAAATTCGACCTTGTCTACCGAACGCTTCTTTGTAGCCTAGAGGTAAGAGTCATATATGACGGTTCCGTATAGGATGCAGGTTCGAATCCTGTCAAAGAACGAATATTTTCTATGAAAATTTCTCGGACATTCAGGCCGGTAAATGTTATTTAATACTGTTTATCATAAACAGAGAATTTGCTTAAATACTTGTATCTATAAAATAACAACGTTAAACATAAAAAATATTTTAATAAATAAATTGTCGGACCTTGTCCTTTCTTAATATATATATATATATATATATATATTTATGTATGTATGTGTACACTAAATGTTTATAATAAGACAGTAAATTTTAATTCAGTTTAATTCAAATAATTGTATAGAAGATAATTTTCGGCTATTGTTTTTGAAACATGAGAACTCTTATGTAGCGATGGAATCATATCATAAATAAATATTTTAAATAAATATATATATATATATATATATATATATATATATATATAATATATATATATATTATATATTTATATATTTGTGGTTTTTACGTATGCACGCATATTGACAAAACAGAAAAATGGAAATAGATCTAAGAACACATTTTTTTGACATATTAAACGATAAGAATATAGATACCATTCTCACCTTTTCTCGGACCAACCTTAATTATTTTATTACCCTTCACGCAAAATTCTTTCACTGCAAGTTCAAGAAAGACATTTTGGCCCCTATCACACCAAAAAAGAGAATGTCTAATTCCGAGAATATTTAACATCGAAAAACATAAGAAAAATTAATTCCTTTTAATAATATTATTCAATATCTACTTTTGCCTGATGAAGGTCGCAAGACCGGAAACGCGTTAAAAAATTATGGAAAATAAAAAATCATATATTTGTTAAAAAATCCACATTACAAACAAAGACATTTGCGGTTTCTCTCTTCTTTTTGATTATACACACTTTTCTCTGGTTGAAACTACTATAACCTTTTTCCTTTATCCGCGTAACACATAGTTTTGAAGAAATATCTATACATTTTTATGTACATTCTGCAATATTGAATGCTCAGTTGAATTGAAATATATTTTCCGTTGATTAATCCGACTTTTATTTATGTATCTGTAAATTTTGTTGCAAAAAGAGCTTCACTAACCAAATCATATAGGCCAAAACATTGAGTTTGATGTTAGTTTACAGAGCTGAACACTTGTTTCCAATGCCACATATAGACATTTTTTTTTCGGAAAAAAATAACTGAATTTGCATTTTGTTATCGAAAAGCAGTAAATTGTTCCGAGGAGATCAAATGAAATACAAGTAAAAGTCATTTGCATCGCATTTATAACAAAAGCGCCTTTCATGTATTCAGTTTTATTAATACTAAAAACAAAACATACAATTCTGTATTTGAAAACAACGCAAAACAAAACGAAACATCAATTCTGTTTTATTTTCACGGTTATATTGTAAAATTAAAATCGAGCCAATCAAGAGTTTATTTTCCTTCTCGTCTCATTTATCGAAATGAATGTGTTTTGAGTGTTTCTTTGACTGTCTAGATTTTATACTTCAGGAAAATGTGTATCAAATTCAAACAAAACGTTTTATTACTTTAAATTAATTTACACGTCAGAAAAAATTTCCGTTGTCAATACACTTGGGAAAGACAGCCAACATTGAAGTTTCTTTTTTTGCTCAAAACTGTCTGCTATGTCACTATTGTTTATATAGATATAATAACTATATAACCATTACTCATGTAATTTTACAATAATACATTAATATATAAAAAACATTTAAAGCTTTTTTAAAACTTTATTTTTAATCATTTCACTCCAAGCAAGGAAATAAAGCCACTAACACGCAGGGAAATACTGAATGCGAAAGAATATCAAAAAAAAAAATTAAGGAGCGAGAATAATAGATGAAGAAGATAACGATTGACATTATTTTTAAATTTTGAAGATCAAACATTAATGGAAAGCAAGAAACCGGAAGAGTTCTGTAATCAGGGAAGTACCACAGAAAGAACTGTTAGCATAGAACTTACGGTTACATCAAGCCATTTAGACTCTAAATAGATGAGATCTTAATATGAAATGACAAGATATGGGATCAAGTCTTATTTTGAAGGTATTGTTGTGCGAGAAAAAAACTATTGGATTAATTAACAAAGCGAAATAGCAATACAACATAAACATAAAATTTTTAAAATAACCATATACGTCTTCATATAACAGGAATTGAAAATATATATATATATATATATATATATATATATATATATATATATATATTGAAATTTCATACAAGGTGTGTATGTGTTTTGTAAGAGATTTGATATCTGGAAAAAAAATTATTGTAATCTTTAGTACTTATCTTATGTTGATTGTCACGAGCCTGAATGCGTACGTCTTTTTAGTTTGACTGCCAGGAACCAAATAATGCTTGACTTTTTCGCCTAACGATCCCTCATACAGTTCACGAAGACTATCTATATATCTATTTTTTTTGTTTTTTAAAGGTTATCCATTTTTAGCTTTTTAAAAAAAAAGTCAAATATTAACTATTGTCTCCCTTAACAGTAGTATTATACGAACTCTTTGCAGTTTATCTCAAGATTTTAACTAGGTTTGTTGATTTAATTTTTTTTCGACTGCTAACTGGTGAAAACCTAACATCCGATGAGGTGTTACAAATGTAAATCGACTGAGTTCAATGAGGTCATTATCTTTAGGACACGCCCAGCCACATCGCCCGGGAAGGAAAAAAAAAATCTAATATTATTTTCAAGGATAAAAAGTAAAAAAGAAATATGTACGCTAAACGAGATAGAAATACCCACGGATAGAAACATCCACCGTGAAGTCACAAAAAATTGTCCAAGTATAAATGACTTTGAAATCGAGTTAAAAAAACGTAGGAGAAGAAATGTGTTCTTGCCTTTTTCCAAGGGTAATAGTGATCCTCAAAAGTGGCTCCCTCCGGATTCTTCCGGAGGATTGTCAGATGAAGTGAAACATGTTTTCCGTCGGGATGGATGCCGCAGATTAGTCTATGTTCCGTTCCGAAACCTTGTCTCCTCTCTTGCGTCCACCCCCCTATTGCGTATATATCTGTAACGTAGCCGTGGTATGACCATCTTTGATTAATCGTTAAAACTCTCAAAGTTTTTTAGACTTTTTTTGATCAATCTAGACAAAAAACCATTAAATCGAGCTGAGACCAGATTAAACCAAAAAAAAATAAAGAAACATTCAATCTTCACGTTAAAACCGACCTTGTACCACAAAAATGACACACTGGAGGGTTATTGAATCTCGGGCAATAGGAAGAAGTGAATACTATAAACTGGAATTTGAATTTCGCTTGCTCACTCTAAAATCTACGCCGTTAAACGTTACGATAAACCAATGTCACGGCACACTATTGTGACGCGCGATCTTTTAATTGTGCCACGAAATAGTGTCACGAAATTGCACCA